GCAGTACAGTGATAGTCTGACCACTATGGAACTCTGAGAGCTTTATGAAATCACTACTTTGCTTATTTTGAATGTGAAATAGCACAGCACACAATTGCACTTGCTCGCCACATCATCTTGTGTGTGTGACCTTGAACACGACTTGTTTCTCATTACTACACATCAAGTCAGCCAAAAGCCATACACATCCTTTTTTTATATGCTGCTTTTAGTCAAGTATTAGTGATCTGCATATGTTTTTCTTTTAAAGTGGTAATCAAGTCTAATATTCTAAAATTTTGGAGGGCCAATGTTGCCAATGAATTTATTTCATTCTGAACAGTGACTGTTTTCCTGAAAGAACAGTAAAGCTTTTCTTGACCTTAGTAGACAGCTGGTTATGTTGAATTTGTTGGATGCCTATAGGAGTGGTAGCACTGGTCATGAACACAGTCAGTGCCATCCCTAGCAGGACTGGTAAAAGTACAGGCATTCTCTTATATCTTGAATCTAAGAGATGTAAATATTGCTAGACCTCACTTTCTGGAAGCACATCTAAGTTAGGGGTCAAGAATACCAGTCTGTAACTGTGTGCTTGTAACACAAATTGCTAAATGGTCTTTTAATAAAAGCCTGGAGCCAGATATTGGGGTAAATGCTAAAAGATCAGGGAGATAAAGGAACAAGCCACTGCCACATCTTACCTCTAGGACTTCTCAGCCTGAAAAGGCTTCAGTTCCTGTTTCCTCATGCCTTAAATACCTTTCTCCACCCAGCTTTCACTTCCTTCTTAGTGCTTGGATTAAAGGCATGTGTGCTTCCAAAGCAAAGGCATGAGTTCTCAAGTGCTGGGATTAAAGGCAGGTGATTCCCAAATACTTGGATTAAAGTTGTGTGCCACTACTGCCTGGTTTCTATGTTTAATCTAGTTGTTTGTTCTGTTCTCTGATCTTCAGGCAAATTTTATTAGGGTACATAATAATATATATATATATATATATATATATATATATATATATATATCACCACATTTCCCCTTTTTTGTCTAAAATAGTAAGTTATAACTAATATAAGAAAAACTACATACAATAAATATATACAATATGTATAGTCAAGAATTACATTAACAGTGTCCAGTCCATAAGCATTTGACAAATTCAGAGAAAATACACCATTATCTATCCTATTTTGTTGAATCCAAAGTGTTGTACCTATTTCACTTTCTATCCTAACTTGCATTACCAACCCAAAACTATCTTTTGATGTCTTTCAAATTTATACACTTTACATCTCTCAAATGAGGTTCTTTTTCTGAATTTGTTAATAAAGAAAACTATATAATTATCTAGTCTTCAACACCCTCAGAGACCTGAGAAGGAAATAATATTACCTAAGTAAGCAAGAAGTACAAACAAGTGACTTCCAAAAATGTGAGAAATAGCAGAAACAGCTGGCTGCCTAAACAGTCACCTAAGGTACCTCTAAAACATAGGGCCATTCATCTTCAGCCTACAGACCTAGCATATCTGACAGACTCATCTGTGAAGTAGGATTTTCTTGGCAAGGTTCAGCAGTCCTTTTCTTTTTTTTTTTTTAAGTGCAATATTAATATATTTTTTAACTATTATTATTATTATTATTTTACAACACCATTCAGTTCAACATAATAGCCACAGATTCCCCTGTTATCCCCCTCTCGCCCACCCCTCCCCCCAGCCCACCCCCCATTCCCACC